CTTCCGCCGAGCCTCCACGTACTCAGGCCGAGCCTATCCTGATCCGAACCTGTCCTCTTCCTCTACCACCACCACCCTCCTCTCCTCCCACTCTGCTCGTGATATTTCCTTTTCTGAAGGGCCCTCCTCTCCCACACCCACCAGCAAAGAACCCCCCTCTCCCACCGCTAAAGGACCGCCGCCCCTCACCACCTCGTTTTCAGCGCTTGATGAGGCTTCCTCTCCCAACGCAGCTAGAGCAGTCTCCTATTCAGGGCAGCCCTTTTCCTATGCCAGTCAGATAACAACCGCTCCTAGGGAAGCCCCAGGTATGCCTTCAGGGGGTTTCAACAGAGCGGTTTCATACACAGGGGGTTTCAACAGAGCGGACTCGCACTCAGGTGCTTTCAACAGAGCAGGGTCTTACTCAGGTGGTTTCAACAGAACTGGTTCAGATGTGGGGCTGCTGCTCACCTTCGGGGGACCATCAGGGGGGGAGTTTTCAGGAACAGAGACGACAACAGGTGGAGCAAATGACAGAGAAGACTTGGAAGAATCTGGGAGAGGAAAAGAAGAGGAGGAGGAGGAGGAGTTAGTAGATGTAGGGTTGGCAGATGAAGACTACAATTGGGGTGACTCTATTTACAGTAAGCAGCAGCTTTTAGCTAAGCACCAGGGTGATTTTCTCCACGTGTTGCTGCAGATGCTACAGCTGGCAGTGGCGAAGCGGGAAAGCGAGTTAGTGTCAGCCTCTGCCGCCGCTACAGCTGCCGCTACAGCCGTCTCGGCTGCCGAGAGGGAGAAAGCGGAGTGGGAAGTGGAGCAGGTGGTATCAGCAGTGTTTAGGGAGGTGCATAACGTGTTGCATGTGAATGGCGTTGGCAGGGTGAGGAGAAAATTCCGAGGGGTGGCTAAGGAAGGGAACGCAGCAGCAACGGCTGCTGCTGCAGTGAAAGAGGATCTCGAGCTTTTGGTCCGGGCAGTTGAAGCAAAGGCTCGGGCAGCCATGAGAAGAAATGCGGCTGGCCTGGTCCCTCCTGCTCCCAGAAGGCTTGTCAAGGATGGGAGTGGGGGTGAGGGGCGGAGAGGAGGAGAAAAAAGTGGCGGAGGAGGGTGGGGGGTGAGCAGCGGCAACGGCATGTGGAGCATTGGTCAGAGTCTCCAGTCGGCTGCTTTGGCTATAGCTCGCTCTCCCTCTGTTGCTGGTCCCTCTGTTGCCATCACTCCTAGCATGAGTAGATCAGTGTCTGCTGCCGAAGCTCCTTCTGTTGTCTACTCAGTCGGGGCACACAATGCCTCACTAAGTATCTACAGGTCAGCTTCGGTGGCTACTACTGAGGCCTCCACTGCTGGTAACACGCCGGTTGCGCACGCGGTTACCATCGCCCGAACCTCCTCCGTAGCCTCGGGAATGTCCACGGATGGTAACACGCCTGTGGCTCGGGCTGTAGGGGATATGTCAGGAGGAATGTCGATGTCCCAAGGGGGAGCGGTTCAGATGGGTGGTGTATCAGGAGGAATGGGTGGAGAGCGGTCGAGCGCTCTGACCATCTACAGGACACCGTCTATGGCTGAGATGTCGACTACTGGTAACACTCCTGTTGCGCATGCAGTTACCGCGTCATTTGTCAGTGGGTTCAATGTATCTGGTCTCCTCGGGATGGCTTCAGCAAGGCTAGCTGCTGCAGCCACCTCTGCTGCTTCTGCTGCTGCTACTCCTGCTGCTACTCCTGGTGCTGCTGGTACTGCTGCTGCTTACTCTACAACTGGTAACACACCTGCTGCTTCCACTGCTGGTAACACTCCTGCTGCTTCCACTGCTGGTAACACTCCTGCTGCTTCCACTGCTGGTAACACTCCCATCGCCCAGGCCTTGGGGAGTCCGAACCAGTTTGCTAACAGTCAAGTGTCGCCGGTAACCACCCCTGTAACCGCGGATGCTTCGACTGGCGGTAACACGCCTGTCGCACATGCGGTTACCACTAGTGGCAGCGGTAACACTCCTGTTGCACGACCTTTGAGGCTGAGGGAAGGGGAGAAGGCGGAGCAGGACGGGAGGGCAGAGGAGGAGGAGGGGGCAGGTAGAGGGGAGGAGCAGGGGGAGGAGAGAGGGGAAGAGGAGGAGAGTGAGGAGGTTTTGTTTGTAAGGGAGGTGGTAGCGGGTGATGTGGTGGTACACCACCATGTAGACTCTCTCACTCGCTCCCTCACAACTGCTTCCCCTAAACCCAAACCCCTGGGGCAGACTTTTGAGGCGCCTCAAAGAACAGGAGGTGTTGTGGTACACCACCATGCGGACTCTCTCACTCGCTCCTTCACCCCTTCTAGCTCCTCCAATGCCACTTTTGGGAACTCTCAACAGAACGCTAACGCCTTTGACCTGATGGCAGAGTCCCCTGCTGTGCTGGCGCCTGGAATCAGGCAAGAAGGAGGGGAGCAGCAGCCTTTCTTTCGTCCTATGTCCAGGCAGCAAGAGAGGGAACAGAGCAGGATACAAGACGACCCTTTGCTGGGCGAGCAAAGGAGACGTGATGTCTGGGGGAGTCGTGAGGCATCTACCAGGCTGGATAGAGGGAGGAACCAAAGCCTGGAGGAGGACTATTCCCAGCCAGCTACAAGGCTGGACGCTCACCCGTTGCCTGCTCGCCCCATAGGGAGTCATGACTCTGCTGCCCGGCTGGATAGAGGGAGAAATCGAAGCGTTGAGGAAGACTATTCCCAGCCAGCTTCAAGACTGGACGCTCACCCGTTGCCTGCCCGCCCTATGACTGCTCAGCCGAGAGATCGGTTCCAGCACACAGCAGCAAGGGATGGGAGTGGCAGGTTGGCTTTTGAGCCGGGTAGAAGAGCGATTGGGGGCGGGGCTAGTGGTGGGAGTGGGAGTCGACACCAGCCAGCAGCCACCAGGCTGGATGCAGGGAGGAACCAAAGCCCAGACGAATACCACCAGCCAGCAGCCACCAGGCTAGATGCTCAAGCTCACCCCTGGGGGGGTCACCATGATCCAGCAGCTGCGAGGCTGGATACAGGGAGGGGACAGAGGAACCAAAGGAGCCAAAGCCCAGACGAATACCAGCAGCCAGCAGCCACCAGGCTAGATGCTGCTCACCCCTGGAGAAGTCACGATCCAGCAGCTGCGAGGCTGGATACAGGGAGGGGCCAAAGTCCAGACGAATACCACCAGCCAGCAGCCACCAGGCTGGACGCTCACCCGTGGGGGAGTCAAGATCCACTAGCCGCGAGGCTGGATACAGGGAGGGGCCAAAGCTTGGGCGAATACCAGCCACAGCCGCTTGCGTGGGGGGGTCGTGAGGGAGATGGGTTTACCAGTCTGGATAGGAAAACCCCTGTCCAGCTGGATAGAGGGAGGAGGAATCAAAGCCTGGAGGACGAGTATTCCCAACCAGCTTCAAGGCTGGATGGTCTAGATGCCCACCCCTTGCCTGCTCGCCCCGTGACCGCTCTGCCTAAATCCAGGTCGACTTTTGAGCCGGCTCGAAGAGCGATTGCGACTGACGCGATTCTTGAGACGTCTCAAGAGCTGATTAGAAGAGCGATCGCTTTTGAGGCGCCTCAAGAGGCGGCTAGAAGAGCGACTGCGTCTGAGGTGCCTCCTGAGCGGACTCATAGAGCGATCGCTTCGCCTCAAAGCATGCCTGCTCGCCCCATGACCGCTCTGCCTAAGTCCAGGTCGACTTTTGAGCCGGCTAGAAGAGCGGTTGGGGGCGGGGATAGCAGTGGGAGTGGGAGGGTGAGTGCTCTGCTGTACAGACCTGGGGGTCAGAGAGGGGGAGTGTGGGGTGCGGGGGGACGCGGAGGAGGAAGGGGAGGAGGGAGTGGAGGAGGGAGGGCTGGTAGGCAGGAGGAGCGGAGCACAGGCACAGGAAGAGAACGGATACAAGGAAGGGGTGACCAGGGTGATTCGGCTCTTTTACCTCTAGACTCTGGTGTACCGGACCGAACCGCTCGGGGTGGGACCGAGGCTAGTGGTTTGGCAAGTAACCGGCAGGTTTGGAAAGGGAGTGTTCGGGACGGCGCGTCTAGTTCTCAGGAGCCGCACAAGGGGAGTGGTAGAGACGGTGTGATGGAGTCGTTGCTATCCGAAGCTGCTGCAGCAGCACAGGGCACTGTTCGAGACATTGTGTCTTTCTGGGCTACAAGTGCTGCAGCAGGGGCTGTAGCAGCGGCAACAGGTGGCGCAGCAGGTCGTGAGTCTGTAGCAGCAGGAGCGGGTACTGTAGCACTGCCACGTAGGCCCGCTACAGCTGCAGCGGGCGGCAGGGTTCGTTCTGTAGGGGGCTGGCAGGGCTGGGGGATGGGAGAGAAAGGAGAGGGGTTGGGTGGAGTGGGGATGGGTGATAGAGAGGAAAGCATAGAGCAACCGTGGGGCAGAAGCAGGGTGCAGAATCAAGAGGCAGGAAGGCAGATGGGAAGGGAGGATCCGTGGGAGGGGTCCTATCGGGATAGACGAGGTTTGGGTGATAAACGAGGAGGAGCGGAGGAGAAGGGAGGTGGGGCAGATGTTTGGATTCTTGAGGAAGGGGAGGTGGAAGGAGAGGAGGGTAAGGAGGAGGTCGAGGACAGTGGTGAAGGGAATGTGCGTGTGAAGCATGAGAGGAGACCGCAGCAGCAGCAACACCAGCAGCTGCAGGAAAACTCTTCATCCGCTGCTGCTCCGGGTCTCTTTGCAAGTTTCCTGCCCAAGTCAGCGTCGGTCAGTCACGTTCGACGAGCCAGCATCCAGATCTTTGATTCGCTCACGCACCTTACCTTGGGCTCTTCTTCCGCTGCTGTGCCTGCTGCTACAGCCACCGCTACAGCCGGTGCCACCCCTGCTGCAACTGCTGCTGCCACCGCTGCTGCACCTGCTGCTTTAACTGCGATTGCAGAAGCAACCACGACAGGTGCTGCCGTTGCTGGTGCTGCTGCTGCTGACTCTGCTGCTGCAGGTTTTCCAGTCACAGCAGGTGACATAGCGGGTCCGTCACACTCCCCGTTGCTTGGTCCGTCTGGGGTTGTAGCAGCTGTGGCAAGGGCTGCTGCTACCACCCTTGCAGCTGCTACAGGTGTTGGCGCTGGGTCTCATGCTGGTGCACCCGGTGCCACCAGTCCTGTTTTGCCAGGTGCTTTTCCAGGTAGATCTCCGTTGGTTTCCCCAAAAGCCAGACCTCATCGTGGGATGGTGACTGTGGGGAGTTTTGTTGATACGGAAACAGGGGTTTCAGAATGGCTGGTTGGAAAGGTGGAGACATTGACAGGGGCGGGGCAGAGGAGAGGAGAGGAAGAGAGGAGAGTGGTATTGGAGTGGACTCAGGAGTTGGAAGAGGAAGGGGAAGAGGCAGAGAGAGTGTTGAGAGAGAGAAAGAGGGAGAGGAGGGAAAGGGAGGCGAAGGAGAGGGAGAGAGAGGAGGAGAGGAGGAGGAGGGTGGAGGAGGTGAGAAGGAAGATGGAGGCGGCTAGTGAGGAGAGGAGGAGGAGAGAGGAGCGGGGGCAAGGAGGCGTTCTTGCAGGGAAGGAGGGGAGTGAGGAGCAAGGAGGGAGGAGCGGATTGGGTGTTGCGGCTGGCGAAAGGAAAGGAGGAGTGAAGAACCAAGAAAGGCCTTCAGGGGTCAAAGTGAAGAGGGAGAAAGTTTCAGCGTCAGGGGGTCGTGATGCGCATGAGGGGAAACGAGGTTTGGTGAAAGGGGAAGCAAGGGAAAGTGAGAGCTCAAGTGAGGGAGAGGAAGGTTGGAGTGACATGGAGGAGGAGGAAGAGGAAGAGGAGGAGGAGGAAGAGGGAGAGGAAGAGGATGACGAAACATTGTGGAGTGACGATAATGGAGATGCTAGTAGCGAGGATGCTGATGCTCTGGCCGATAAGGAGGAGGCAGGGAGGAAGAGGAAAGAGGAGGAAGGGAGGAAAGAGAAGGAGGGGAGGAAAAGCCAGGAAGTTGAGAAGGTAGTGGCGGAGAGAGAGGATGACGCAGAGGGGATTGACAAGATGGACTGGGCAAGAGGGGGGAAGGGGGGAGCCAAGGATGGTGATGGTGATGCTGGTATTGGCAGTGGTGGTGATGATGATGGGGAGGACCTGTGGAGCGATGTTGATGTTGATAGTGATGATGCTGGTGATGGGGATGGGAGGGAACAGCGTGATAAGGGGAAGGAGCAGGGGTGGAATGAGGAAAAGGATGGGGTAAACGAGCAACACGAGGAGTCAGTTCCTGAGGTGCGTCAACTGTACGAGGAACGGAGTGGGAATGAGAATGGGGCGGACGAGAAAAGGGAAGAATCTGTATCTGAGGTTACTCAAAAGAAGGAGGAGGAACAGAGTGAGAAGGGGGATGAGGTTGAAATTCCAACACCCGCGATTTTTAAGACACCTTGCAGTATGATAGGTTCTTCTTCCCTGGTAGAGACGATTCGTGAGGTGGTGCAAGAACCGGGCAGCACGATGGGGTCCCTTCTTCCCTTGGTTGAGGAAGGATTTGGGAGCAGCGTGGAGGAGGGGAAAGAGCCGGGCAGCATGATAAGTTCTCCTTCCCTGGTAGAGGAACGGTGTGGGAGCAGCATGGAGGAGGGGAAAGGGGAGGAGGATATGGGAAGGGACGGGAGGGAGGAGGACGAGTGGAGTGGGGTTGATGAGGAGGATGGGGCGGAAGAGGAAGAGTCTGTTTCTGCGGTGCCTCGGAAAAACGAGGACTGTATTGAGAAAACGGGTCGGTCGAAAGAGCCAAACGAAGAGTCTTCGTTTGAGGTGCTTCAACAGAACGAGGAGGGACAGAGTGAGAAGGAAGATGGGAGGGAAGAGGATGAGTGGAGTGGGATTGATGAGGAGGACGCACAGGAGGAGGATCAGGCGGAAGAGCAAATTGGAGAGCCTGTTCCTGAGGTGCCTCAAACGATCGGGGAAGGACAGAGTGAGAAGGAGGTTGGGAGGGAAGAGCAAAACGAAGAGGGGCCTCAAAAGGTGGAGGAGGGAGGGAGTGAGAAGAAGGATGGGAGGGAAGAGGACGAGTGGAGTGGGATTGATGATGAGGATGCAGAGGAGGAGAATCAACCGGAAGAGAAAATCGAAGAGCCTGTCTCGGAGGTGCCACAAAGGAACGATGCGGGACAGAGTCAGCAGGAGGATAAGATGGAGGAGGATGAGTGGAGTGGGATTGACGAGGGTGAAGCAGAGGAGGGGGGTGAGCTGGAAGAGCAAAAGGACGAGCCTGTCTCTGAGGTGCCTCAAGCGATCGGGGAAGGACGGAGTGAGAAGGAGGTTGGGAGGGACGAGCAAAATGATGAGGTGCCTCGACAGAACGAGGAGGGACAGAGTGAGAAGAAGGATGGGAGGGAAGAGGACGAGTGGAGTGGGATTGATGAGGAGGATGAAGGGGCGGATGGTTTTGACTCTGGTGATAGCTTGGGGAGTGAAGCGGAGGAAAGTGGGAGTGGGGAAGGCGGTGGTGGAGAGAGTGGGGTCAGTGATATAGATAGTGGAAGTGGGAGTGGGAGTGGGGATGGGAGTGGGAGTGGGAGTGGGAGTGGGAGTGCGAGTGGGAGTGAGAGTGGGAGTGAGAGTTTGATAGAGAACGAGAGTGAGAATGAGAGCGATGGGGAAGAGAGCACACTAGACATGAGCAGTGTTGGTACCATTGGACTGGAGGGAGAGAGTGACGAAGAAGAGACTGATGCGCAAGGGAGGGAGGAGCGAGGGAGTGAGGAGCAAGCGAGTGAGGTGGGGGAGAGTGAGGGAGGGAAGGGTACAGAGCAACGGGAGAAAGATGAGAGGGATGGGGAATGCAGCAAGCAGGATGATGCGAGCAATGAAAAGACCCAGGATTATCTCAACGCTCTCGGAAACAGCACGGTCCAAGAAGCCATGGCGAACCAAGGCACGGCCAACAGGGGAGATCATGGTGATGTTAGCTCGCACAGTTCAGCTGTGCCAAAGCAACCCGATCTGCCTGCAGCTGACATGGCAGATCGGGTTGCTGTGGCTGAAGCGATCGCTGATGCAGGTGCTGTGGAGGGCGCTGATGTGGAAGTTGCTGATGCAGAAGGTGCTGACGTGGAAGGTGCTGATGTGGAAGGCGCTGATGCGGAAGGTGCTGACGTGGAAGGCGCTGATGCAGAAGGTGCTGACGTGGAAGGCAATAATGTGGAAGGCACACCGGCTGGATTGTTAAACTCAGTCACCTGTTCGGCTGATGTTCCCAAGCCAGAATTGGGCATTTGAGCCAACTGGAAAGAGGTGAATAAAAGGATGTAACAGATATAGGAGCGACATAGATGTAGGTGATACAGGTGGACTATTGGGGGGTAGTCCATGTGGCACCTGTGTGTATTCATGTGGCCTAGCTTTATTCTTCTTTATGTAGTTGGCTAGCTTTCTAGCCAATTAGAGTTCTCTAACGAACTTTCACAGCTCATTTCGGGGCTTTGCGGTGAAAGGCTGGTTCGGCGCTTGCCTAGTACGGTGATGCAGTTCGGCCAAGGTTAGGGCCATAGCTAGAGGGCCTTCAGCCCAATCACCAGCTTTCGGTGGCTTGATCTGTTCCGAAACCTGTCAGGGTCAGGCTGGCCAGGCAGTCACCCTTGGGCTTCCCGCCTGCCTGGCCAGGCAGGCGCGTATCGCAGGTTTGTCAGTAAACCGAACCAGCCACCAGACCAGAGCTCCAAACTCCAGCCAATCCTTGCTTCTCTTGGCCCAAATCTAGACGTTGGACCATTCTCCCTCCCGAGCCGGCTCTCCTATTTTGCCTGATTACATACGTGTACCTGGTAATAGCTGGATAGATCCTAGTGCGGGAATGTTTAGGACGAGTTTTCCTGACTTGAATTGCTGAGTGCGTTTCATAGTAGGTTTGTCTTGACTCGTGTGCGAGAGTGAAGTTCAGTAAGCAGTGCTGACGAGCAGGTTGGTGATGCGTACGGCGGATTGCGTACGAGCAGGGTTGACGTGATGGGGATATCTCTTTATCCCGCTAGACAGATCGCGTAGACTAATGCAAGATTAGGTTCGCGTGATGGCGAGTGCCGTTCCTACGAGGAAACAAAACGTGACGGTCAGTCCTAGCATGAGCAAGAATCAATCTTGGATGTTTTATGCACGAGGCGGTTACAGAAGCTTTGCTTGTAATGTGAGGTCTATTTTCTCACGCATGTGCTCGAAGAACGGGTCGTGGCGAAGAACGTCGACATGGTTACTTCTAGTTACATTCGTTAGCATCGTTCTCATGATTCGTGAAGCTTGGATGACCGGCACAGAAGACAGCACAACGGTTTCATTTTTCTCTCAACGGGTTTTGCCCGGGAGAATAGGACATGGAGTGAATCAGGAGGATTGGAGCGTGAGCAACACCATTCCTCATCCAGATGTCGTTGTCTGGGCGAAGGTTCGTCCGAATCTTTCAAGATTCTTGTTGGAAATGCGACCAAGAGTCTTCCAAGGATGTTGTGGATGACAATTCGATGAAATATCATCTCTACTGAATCTGTCGGAGGTTATACCCAGATCCCGCCTAAAGATCAGATATTTCGTTGCAAGCTGTCGCGCTCATACTGCTTGCAATTATAAGCTAACTACTCTTCAGTCTTCTTCCCAATTTCAGGGTCTGCTTCACGAGCGGCTGGAGGCGGTGTGTGCGGGCTACGCTCTGCACCAGCTCTTATCGTCCAAACTCTCCCCCTCCGAACCAAGTAACTCCGCACAAGAATCACAAGAATCGCATCAACCACAGCAACCACAGCAGGCGCCGTTACGGCTGGCCGTGCTGTGGCTGCCAGACGCAGGCATGCCGCACGCCACGCTGAACCACGTGCTCGGGCCTCTGCCTCGCCCCAGCGCGCTCTCCTCTCCGCAAGGCTCCCAGCCGCAAAACGACGGGCAGCAGCAGCAGCAGCAGGGGTCCGCAGCAGCAGACGGGTCATCCTCCGGTGCAGCTGACCCGTCTGATGAGACTCTGGTGCTGCTGCATCACCCCAGTTGGCTCAACTCGCCGCTCTACACCTATGGGGTATGTGTTTCTGTAGAGGGGCGTTGGCATGCGCAAGCTTGTGTGTTCAATGTTTTTGTCTCCTTTCCTGCAGTGATATACTGTGTGGGTGGTTTTGTTGCTTGTGTATGTTCACCACGTGTTATCCACTTGCCCGTTTGCTGTCTGGCCCTGCATATTCCAACAGACCCTCAACTCGAAAATCCCCCAGCCAATCTCCCAGGAGCAGATGCAGCAGCAGCCAGAGCAACAGAATGTCTCTTCCTCTTCCTCATCCTCATCCTCATCGTCGTCTTCCTCCTCCCACCCTTCTCGCCGCCTGCACGTCAATTTCTTCCTCTCAGCCTCCCTCCCTCCCATGGCCTCCGCCCTTGCTGACGTGAACGGCTCCTCCCAGCTCCGCACTTCCCTCCAGCGCTGCTACAGCCTGCTACAGCCGTCCGCAGCCGTGCAGGAGCTGATAGCCAAGGAGAACATGACACGTGTCCAGCAGAGCACAGCTGTGTACGTAGAGCCAATCTCCCTCTCCCTCCCCTCCTCCTACCCTTGCTCTAGCTGCGACCCTAAATTCGCGGTCAACTGCACCACGCGCCGCCTCATGTGGTTTTTTCTCGGGCAGCCCGAAGGCGACGCTACAGTTGTGGGCTTCTGGCCGTCTCAGGCTGTAGCCGTGGCAGAAACTTTCCACGAGAACCGCCAGCCGCATTTGCTAGAATCCACGCGACGCCGTGCGCAGCAATGCGAAGGCGGTAACCGCAAAGCCAGTGGTAACCGCTTGAAGGACGGTAACCGCATTGGGGGTGGATATGTAGCGCCGCCTATTATCCCCCCCGGGATGACTGTGAGGCAGCAGACGGCTAAGTGGATGTGGTGGCTTGGATTGGCAGATGGTAGAGATTACTACACCATGGGTACAGGGGGGTTGGGAGGAGGAGCGCGAGGAGGAGTGGGAGGAGAAGTGGGACTGGAAATGGGGAAAGGAGGGGCGAATGGGACTGGCGAGTCGGCTGGTGGAACAAGGCGGCTGCTTTTGTCTGGTAGTGTAGAGGGCGGTAGTGGCAGCAGTTGGACAAGACGTAGGCTAGAAGTCCAAGCATACCCAGAGCGAGAACCAGGAGCATTAGCATCCCTACCATCACTATCACCTGCTGCAGCAGCAGTATCAGCCGCAGCAGCGGCAGTGTCAGACGAAGGAGCAGCAGTATCGGACAAAGCAGCAGTACCAACCACAGCAGAAGCAGTATCGACCACAGTGGACGCAGCACCAACCACAGGCGAAGCAGCATCAACCACAGCAGAAGCAGCATCAACCACAGCAGAAGCAGCATCAACCACAGCAGAAGCAGCCTCAGATGAAGCAGCAGCATGGGTAGAATGCGCGCAGCTGGAAGCAGCGGAGCTATTCGCCCTCTCATCCGCGCAGGGGCTCATTCACCTGCAGCACTCCCCCCAGGCGGACCTCATCCGCGCGCGCGCGCAGGCCTCCGCCAGGGGCAGCTCCCCCCGCATGCGCGATGTGCTAGTGGCGCCAGAGAGCTTCCCCCGGGGGGAAACGCCACCAGGGATAGGGGGGGATAGGGGGAGTGGCGGGAAGGTGGGAGGCGAGGGGAGGGAGTTTGAGGAGGAGAGGGGGTTGTGCGATGCGCCGAAGATACTGCCTGTGACAGAGCACCGCATTGGAAGGCAACTCATTGTGGATGGTACGTGGCTGGCCCTGCCAAACTTGATTGTGGATAGGAGTTTGTTGCCCTGTCAAACCTCCCTTCCTCGGTGTTGGCTGTGTGATGCGCCGAGGATACTGCCTGTGACAGAGCACCGCATTTGCAGGCAACTCATCGTGGATGGTACGTTGCCCTGCCAAACCTCCCTTCCTCCTTTTTTCTCTATGTGCAAAAGGCAGGGTGCATGAGTTGTTAGGTCCACTATGGGTCCAGTCCGGCTGAGGGAGCACTCTTCAGGTGACCTAACCTGCTGCCCCACCACCCCTCCTTGCTCCCATTCCCGCGTTTTCCTCCCCCCACCAGAGGACGTGGGCATGGTATACTGTTACGTGCAGAAGGCGGGGTGCACGAGCTGGAAGTTCTGGCTGCGGGGTCTCCAGTGCACCTGACCTGCTGTGCTGCCTCTACTTCCCTTTCTTAACCCCCCCTCTTCCCACAGAGGACGTGGGCATGGTGTACTGCTACGTGCAGAAGGCGGGGTGCACGAGCTGGAAGTTCTGGCTGCGGGAGCAGCACCACCACCCCTTCCCCAAGTCCTTCCTCTCCGCCCACACCGCCCACTTCACCAACGTCACTGCCGTCTGGTACTCCCTCACCGAGCCACAAGCCATACGCTCCCTCACACGACGAGACTTCACCCGCTTTGTGTTCCTCCGGAACCCGTACACACGCGTTCTGTCCGCGTATCTAGACAAGATGCTTCGCGGGGGCGGCCCGGATGATCTCGGGGCAGGATTCTGGGCGCAGGCGTTTTTCGGGCAGCTGATCACGCACTCCTTATGGGATGCTGCCACGTTTCGGTCGGGCCCCGGAACTGCCCGGCTGCGGAGCATCTGGGAGGTGATTCAGCTGCGGACGGGGTTTCGAATCACGTTCGATGAGTTTGTGGGTTATCTTGGAGAGGCGTGGGAGATAGAGAGCCGGTTTCACCTAGATGTGCACATAGTGCCGCAGACGCTGCTATGTGCGTTGGACCGGATCAAGTATGACTTTGTGGGGAGGTTTGAGAGCATGGATGAGGATGTGATGACGCTGATGAGGCGGTTTGGGAGGGAGCCTGGCGATGCGTTCAGCTTCGGGAAGAAGCTTCAGAAGACCAAGTCGCGGGGGCGCTTGAGCGATGCGTTCGGCAATAAGGTATGCTGTTGGTTTAGAAACCCAGGGGCCACGTGACAGGTATGCTCTTGGTTGCAAGGCAGAGGCAGACTGTGTGTGTTTTTAGCCGATTTTTTACTGTCTTGTTGCTTGCCGTTATGTCAAGGTCTCACCCGTTCTGCCCCCACCCCTCCCCCTCCCTCCTCCCCACTTGTCACCCACTTCAGAAAACCTTTGACACGGTCAGTCATGTCTACAGTCTCGACTTGAACAACACCCTGAATGGCATCGTATACGAACCACCAGATGAGCTGAAGGAGTTGTACGGGAATGGGACATAAGATTGCGCCTTTGATAAAAGTGTATCTATGGCATCGTTATTAAATTTTAACGGAGCTACCTCAAAGAGAATGCTTCTCTGCTGGATCCTCGGGATCTCCAACAGCCAAATGCACTTTTTGTTTTCCTAAATGCCAACTGAGCTTATTCCGCGAACACTTATTGCGCCTCCACTTCCCATTTTCCTATGTCCTTCTGATCTGTCCTCGAGAAGTCCGCCCTGCACTGAGGTCTGGCGCGTTTCGCGCCGCGATAGCAAACGCGGATGAGGAAGCCTCGGGATTTGAAAACGAGGTCGTGGGAGAGAATAAGGCCGCCTGATAAACGGACACGTGTACGATGAGAAATAGGGATGAGATTGCGGAATATCTTCTTTCCAACGGTCACCACAATGATGGTCCGACCACTTACAGATTTTCCGAATCGGCATTGCACTGCAGATAGCATTACGCATACAGACCATACTTTTGTCCCGTGCAAGCCATACTGGAATTCAAAGTTCCAGCTCACCTAGTGTCCAACGCGGTTCCCTAATCGAGTCGGCAGCTAAGAAGATTTTTCCTCACTTCGAGTTTCAATAGAAGCCCGTACCTTGCGATTAGTAGCGTGCGATCCAGCTGACGCCATGACGCCAGCTATTTCGGCTTCCCGAGCTGTCGCTTTCCCAAGCTGTAGCCATCGCTCGAGCGTCCTCCTGTCGACACCTCCGAGGCTTCCATCTAGCTATCAGGCACGGGAATGCCGCAGCTCTCGATTAGATGCGTGCATGCCGGTAGGTCGATGCGAGTTACAGCGAGAGTTACAGTTGAGCAGTCGAGGCCACACCGACCACAGCTACCACAGCTACCACACCAACCGCACCCGTCAGATCCGGCTGGCACTGTCATCCTTCGGTCAGACTTGACGTCAGCCGTCCAATTAGCCGGTTGTCAGGAAGCCTTCTCCCTGACCGTACGGGCTGTAATCGGTCGAGGTTTTCTTATTGGACGAAGTTTCCTCGTGCGGGAAGCGGCAATGGACGGAGATCCCAATCTCGACTGGAAGTTTCCCGTTTACGAGCTTCTCAATTCCAAGTTTCCCGTTACGAGTTTCTCGAGTACAACAAGGCGCGGGGGCTCACGTGCGTGCGCCTGCATGCAGCCACGTTTCGCGCTCTCCGCTCGCTTCACGCACCTGGCCTCCGGATATTCTCCGTGCAGTGAGGTGTGTTTTGAGGCGCCTCAAAACACGCTTCACGCACCTGGCCTCCGGATATTCTCCCGAAAGAGTGCATAGAAGGGCGGCATGGCTGCATCGCCCTTGCATCGCTGGTTTTTTACTCTCCGGAAGGACACGAGAAGGTTCCTGACGCGCGTCGGGATGTATCGAGCGCCTGGGTCGGTCTCGATGCTTCTCAATCGCGGTGACGCTTCTCAATCGTGACCGTGGATCTGCTTTGGTTGGAGACCGTCGACGCGGTCCGGCCGAGTTCGAATCAATCAATGGATCAATATGCACCATTGCCTCCCTCCTGCCTATTGCCTCTTGCGTCTTGCATATTGCCTCTTGTCTCGGTTGGACTCTTTCTATCAACCTCGAGCTGCTTCTGCTGCATCTCCGCTGCCTCGTACCGTCATTCATCTATGTTCGAGAGCCAATCCGAGGTGAAAGGATTCAGACAGGATTCCTTCCTCGTTCAAACATTCATAGGTTCCGCAAGGTTCCCTTCTCCGTTCAAGCATTCAGTTTCCCAAGATCCCTCGAGTTCCCTCGAGCTAGCGCCCGTGCGTCCCTCTCGGGCAACTGCCCGCGTCTGTGCTGCACGTGATGCGCCAACTGACTGTGCGCATTTTTTCCAGCCTTTTAGGTGCCAGTCTCGGGCCTCGGAACTCACATTTCCTCGCTGCGTTCAGTTCAATCTGGTGCTAAATCCCTCAGTCCCGCTTGCCAGCCCCAGCTATCCTCGTTCTGTCACAGCCGTCCCTCGTGCAACGTATCTCGGGCATCCGTCCCTCCCTCGTTGCCTAATCTGGGAGTGTCCTAAGTTTTCCGTTTCCCAGAAACGCTCGCGGAGTGAGTGATTGTGGTATTCACTCCATCTCCTCGGAGAAAGCGCATCTGGCGGTTGGTGATAGCAGGGTAACTGTTCCAGCGTTTGATGGAGGCAGGGGAGGTCGGGAAGGGTAAGGGCCATAGTGTTGCTGCTGGTGGTGATGGTGGTAATGGTGGTGGTTACGTGCTTGGAAGTGGGCATGCGCTTAGCTCTACCCTCCCTGGGATGGCGGTTGATTTGCCAGCTCACGGGATGGATCACAGCCACCACAATGGACACAGTCACAACCACCACAGTCCACACAACCACAACCACCACCACCAGAGAGTTGAGAGTATCTTTGAGGAAAACAACTCTATCGTGGGAGACACTACTACTACTACCAACGCTAACGGCCATGCTGGGAACATTAACGGCTGTGCTGGCAACACTAACGGCCAAGATGACAACATTAAAGGCTGTGCTGACAACACTAACGTCCATGCTGGCAACATCAACGGCTGTGCTGACGACACTACTAACTGTCATGCTGGCACTAACGGCCATTCTGGCAACACCAACGGCCATGCTGACAACACTAACGGTCATGCTGACTCTGCTGTGCTGGAAGGAGCCTATGGAGGAGCGACTGTAAATGGATTGCAGACGGGCGCTATCCGCCTGCTCATTCCACCTGCAGTGGCCCTGCTGCCTGGCTGTCTTGAGCCGAATCAGGGTGGTTCTGTTGCGGGCCAAGGGTTGGTGACGCGGCAAGGCTTGATGGTGGGTGGAGAGATTGACGGGAATATGCATGGGCGAGAGAGCAGCTGCAGCTGTGACGAGCCTGCGGAGCTGCAACAGGTGGAAGGCGGAGCAACAGCAGCAGCAGGGACGAATGGTGGGGGTGGATATGGCTTGGGTAGAGCAGACACGGTGGGTGGAGGAAGGGGAGGGAGTGGAGGAGGAGGGAGTGGAGGTGGAGGTGGAGGAGGGGGAGAGACAGGAAGAGATGGTGCGACTTCACTTGGTTGCGGTGGGGAGGCAGACGATCAGAGGGTGCTGGCTCAGCCGCCGCTCCATATTCTGCAGTCCGTGCGGCCCGAGCCTCTCAACGGCTACAGCGAGCACGGTGAGTGCGATAGGGAGAGACAGCAAGAGACGGTGTTACGTCACTTGGTGGTGGGGAGGCAGACGATCAGAGGGTGTTGGCTCAGCCACCACTCCATATTCTGCAGTCCGTGCGGCCTGAACCTTTCGGCGGCTACAGCGAGCAGGGTGAGTGTGTAGTAGAGGAATCCATTCGTACCCTTGCAGCATGCTGCGGATTGGCAGCTCTCTTACACCCTTTGTAGTAAGACACTGTGCGGCGTTTTGTTCGGAATGTCTTGAAGCATGCTGCGCGGATTGGCAACACTCCCACGTCCTCTCAATTTTCTCAACTGCATCCTACTGTATCACAGGCCAAGAGGGGTCGGCTGGCGGTATGGCACCTGTGATCCACGGCATGCTGCTGGCGCATCCAACGGCTGAGAAGCCTCAGGAGCTGGAGTGGGACGATCTGATCGGTCGGATCGAGGCGGAGATTGAGAAGCCCCAGGCGAGCTCGTGTGTGGATGGCGATTCGTCTTTGATCGCGAGGCAGGACAGCCAGATGTAAGCAGAGGGGGCTTTGCAGAATGAGGGGGCTTGGAAGGAAGAGAGGGCTTGGGAGGAGATGAATTTTGGGTCGACTCAAAAGCCAAGCGAGCTTGTGTGTGGATAGCGAGTCGTCTTCGATCGCGAGGCAGGACAGCCAGATGTAAGCAGAGGGGGCTTAAGAAAGAGGGGGCTTGGGAGGAGATGACTTTGAGTCGACTCAAAGGCCAAGCGAGCTCATGTGTGGATGGCGAGTCGTCTTCAATCGCGAGGCAGGACAGCCAGATGTAAGCAGAGGGGGTTTGGAAGAGAGAGGGGCTACGAAAGAGAGGGGGGTAAGAGAGGGCTTGAGACTACGAGGAGCCTTGAGACAAAGAGGGGTTTAATGATATGACTAAGAGGGGGTTGGAGACTAAGAGGGGTCTGGACTCACAATGGGCTCCGTCGGTGCAAGCTTGATATCTAGTCTGTGCCACTTTTTTTGCCGGTGCATCCTTTGAAATGGTACCGTTTTCTCCCTCTGCTTCCCCTCCCTACCTCCTGCCCTCCCCCGATGGCCTTCAGAGTGACAAGCAGTGAGGGAGCCGTCTCTCCCAACGATGCTGGGGCTCCCAAACGTGGTAAGCACCAGCCTGCTCTGCTTGTCGATGCCATTTCTGAGGCGCCTAAAACATTCACCACCCTTACCGCGATTTCTGTTAGCACGGTCGCAGAAGCGCAGCAATTACACGTGCCAACACCAATATAAAGCGCTTCTAAGATCTACCACCCGGTGCTACAGACACTTCACCCAGTTTTGTGCGTGTAAAATATCCTATCTTTCTCCCTGTTTTTGCAGAGGCAGGCAAGGGCAAGGCGAGGCGGGTGGTGCAGAGGAAGCGGCCGGCTAACAGCACGTCCAAGTTCAGAGGGGTGACTCACCACTGCCGCACTGGGCGGTGGGAGGCGCACATCTGGTGAGGGTTGCCCTTGTTCAGGTTGCTATGGCATTTGTATATGAACCAATGCTCTACGGAAGTTCATCTGGGTAGTGGTAAGAGCTGCAGATAGAATGGCTATGGTGACTTGGTCTGGCTGCTTCATTTCATGTGTGTGCCTCCTTTTGGTGCCTTCTCCTTGTGCCCTCTTCTGTGTCCCGTTTTGTGTCGCTTCGCGTGCCTCCCCATGTGTCTCGTTTTGTGTATCTTGGTCATGTGGGAATGGATGGGTGCAGGGAGGAGGGGCGGCAAGTGTATCTGGGAGGATTTGATTCTGAAAAACAGGCAGCGCTGATGTACGACATAGCAGCACTCAAGATGAGGTGAGGACATGCAGACACGCCATATCAAAGTAGAGGAGGTGAGGTGTACACATAGCGGCAGGGAGGAGGGGCGGCAAGTGTATCTGGGAGGATTTGATTCTGAGAAGCAGGCAGCGCTGATGTACGATATAGCGGCACTCAAGATGAGGTGAGGTGTCCCCATAGCTGCATTCAAGATTGTATGTGTCAGTGTGACAGCAAGTATCAAGCTGACACCTAGTGGCTTATGCTGGCACATGCTGGTAGGTGCATGCTAGCTAGCACATCCTGGCACATGTTGCTTGCAACCACGCTTGCTTACTCACTCATGCCGCATTGTACGTCATGTGTGCAGGGGCGAGGACGCACAGACAAACCTCCCGCCTGAGGAGTATACCAAATACACCAAGGAGATAGGTGAGCGTGAGCCTTCTTTCTGGGTTGTCGTTTGACTTGACCTGTCTCAAAAGGAGATGACTTCTGAGTCGAATCAGAAGGACGCACAGACGAACCTACCGCCTGAGGAGTATACCAAATACACCAAGGAGATAGGTGAGCCGTGACGTCCTATTAAGTACACATACACGTACTTGATGTCAGTCCGTACAGGCCGTCCCCAAGGAGGAGCTGATTCTGCTGCTGCGGCGCCAAATACAGGTGGAGGAAGAACTCACGTATCCTCCTGTCCCTCCACCCCCCGTACCCCTCACCTCCTGCTGTGCCAGAGGCCGTTCCCAAGGAGGAGCTCATTCTTCTGCTGCGGTGCCAAAGACAGGTGGAGGAAGAACTCACGTATCCTCCTGTCCCTCCACCCCCCCGTGCCCCTCACCTCCTGATCTGCCAGAGGCTGTCCCCAAGGAGGAGCTCATTCTGCTGCTGCGGCGCCACAGCAAGGGCTTTGCTCGAGGCACTTCCAAGTACCGAGGGGTGACCAAACACCAGAAGGTATGGCGAGGGGGGCACCTGATGTGGGTTGCAGTGGGTGCATGTGGCGTGCGCTGGCTCAAAACAGCAGCACAGCAAGGGGTTTGCTCGAGGCACTTCCAAGTACCGGGGGGTGACCAAGCACCAGAAGGTATGGCGAGGGGGGCACCTGATGTGGGTAGCAGTGGGTACATGTGGCGTGCGTGTGCTGGCTCAAAACAACGCCAGCAAGGGCTTTGCTCGAGTGACGTCCAAGTACCGAGGGGTGACCAAGCACCAGAAGGTAAAGCGAGGGGGACACAGCACGTGAATTCAGTAACAATCGTGGGTCGTCAGCTGCGAGTCCCCTTCACCAGATCTCCTCTCTTTGTTGCTGTCCCCTATACTACAGAACCTTCAGTTTGGTTCCTTCATTCATCCCGCTCTGTCCCCGTTCCATATCTATCTCCTTTGCAGGGTCGGTGGGAGGCGAGGATAGGGCATGTGGAGGGCAAGCGGTATGACTAACTGGGGCTGTTTGGTCACCCTTTTCACCCTCTCTCTTGAAATCCCTCTCTCCATGTGCAGGGCCGGTGGGAAGCGAGGATTGGCCACGTGGAGGGCAAGCGATACGACTACTTGGGATTGTTTGACACACAGGAGCAGGCTGCCATGGCTTATGACAGGGCTGCTGTGAGGTGAGAAACCCTTCGTGCCAGTCAACCACATACTCTTGCTTCCAACCATAGGGGAATGCTGGAAGGACCTGAGGGTGGGGTGGTGGGGCTACCTGGGGTTGTTCGACACACAGGAGCAGGCTGCTATGGCGTACGACAGGGCTGCTGTGAGGTGAGACTCCTTCTGTGGTAACCATGCTCTCGTGCGTTGGTGTAGAGGTATCTTGGGTTGGTGGGGCTGTCTAATACGCAGGAGCAGGCTGCTATGGCGTACGACAGAGCTGCTGTGAGGTGAGCGTTTTCCAATCACTGCCAACCATGTACGGTCTATGAAGTCGCTATGAAGTGGCTTTTGGGAATTTGACTATTATGTCCTCCTCACTCCGTCCCTGCGCTCCCATTGAGGTGTGTTTTGAGGCGCCTCAAAACACACCTCAATGCAAGCAGCTTTTGGGAATCCGACTATTATGTCCTCCTCACTCCGTCCCTACGCCCCCCCCTCTTTCTCCCTCCGTGTCGCTGCGATGGCTGGTTTACAGGCAGAGGGGCCAGCAGGCAGTTACCAACTTTGATCTGGCCATGGTGAGTGTGTCTTCCGCATGTGCCTTAGGCTTGTGTTCGAGCATGTGCGTTGGGCTCGCGTCTTGAGAATGGACTTCTTAACAAGCCCGCTCCTCATTTATTCCCTTGTTGCACAGTGCGGGGATGACATTCGCGAGTTCAACCTCATGGCACAGCAGCACATGCTTCTGAGCCGCCTTGTTAAAAACCTGAGCTCTCCTCCATTTCTCCTTGTGTTTTTTTCTCCTTTGTTGCACAGTATGCAGATGACATTCGCGAGTTCAACCTCATGGCACAGCGCCTGCAGCAGCAGAGGGCGATGCAAGCTCACTCCATCGTTCTGCACCACACTACCAGCGCTTTTGAGCCGAGGGTTTTCGACGCACCGCAACACACTACGAGCGCCTTTGAGCCGAGGATCTTCGACGCGCCGCAACACGCAAGCAGTGGCATTGAGCCGAGGAGCAGCGGGGTGGAGCAGCACAGGAGGGTGCATTCAGAGCCTAGCATTCGCTCTGGCTTGCTGGTCGTTCAGCAGCAGGAGGAGCCGCAGTGGCAGACGCGTCAGCAGATGCAGCAGCAGCAGCAGAAGGGGCTGTTGCTGATGCAGCAGCAGGAGCAACAGATAAAGCAGCAGCATCAGGAGCAGCAGCAACAGCAGTACCAACAGCACCAACAGCAGCAGCAGCAACAGCAGCAGCAGGCTGGGCTGCTGCAGAGGCGACAGAGCATTCAGTCTGAGCATTTACAGCAGCAGCTGATGCTGCCACCAGAGACGCACAACGGCTGGCACAACAGCAGGCAGCAGAACAATCAGCTGACAGAACAGGCGCAGGAGAGGGAGCAGAGAGAGTGGATGGATGGGCGCAAGAAGCCAAGACAGACCAACCATTCAGCTCCAGCTGCTTTCCCTCGCACCAGCAGTGGCAGAGTCCTGCCAGCCTTGCAGCCCCAGCCTTCCGCCATGGATATTGATGCTGAAAAGGTATCTTCTCAAAACACAAGCCCTGGCACCACCACAACCACTAATGGTCTCATTTCTCCCTGCAGCAACACTACAGCTACAGCTGCTACAGTTGCTGCTGCTGCTGCTGCTGCTGCTACATCACTCCGCTCTTCTGCTCCCCACCTTCCCCCTTTGGGTGTCTCTGCTTCCCTAGATGACTCCTTTCTCAGGCAGTATCCCCAGATTCCACAGTTTCACCACCTCCCCTGGTCAGGTGCCTTGTCAGGTAACTGGTCAGGTGAATTCAACAGAGCAAGCAGCGCTCTCGTATCTGGTAGCACTGCGCCTTTGCTGTCCCACCGGTCCCTCCTGTCAGGTAGTGTCCTTCTGTCTCCCAGTAACCCTCCTCCTGCTTCCAAGAGTAACCATACTGTAACCACCGACACGCCAGTACCTGCTGCTGCAAATGCTTTTCACGGCCTCAGCAGCAGTGGAAGCGGAAGTTTCCTGGCAGCTGCTGACGTCAGCTGCTCGTCCTGGTTGGCTGGCGTTGCTCCTCCTCTGCAGCTGCCAGCCAATCCGTACCTGCCACGTCACCTGAGCATGCAGCCACAGCTGAGCTTGCAGAGACAGCTCAGCATGCATCGACAGCTGAGCTTGCAACAGCACCAGCAGCATGAGCAGTGGCAGCAGCAGCAGCAGAACATGCATCAATCTACGATGTTCACTGGAACAGGAGGGGGTGGGATGTTGTCAGGTGGAATGGGGATGGACAGAAAGGGGAGTGAAGGAATGGCTGGAGTTGACCTCTCAGGGTTCACAGGCCGTGGTGGCTTCGCTTCTGCTGGACTTTCAACGTTCACACCACCTGTTTCCAGCCTCACAGCACCTGCAGGGCTGATAGCACCTGGTGGTATGGCAGGAGAAGTTGGAGGGATGGCAGTAGGTGCTCTGCGTGGGCTGTCATGTCCCTCACAGGTTCTTGTGGCATCAGCAGCAGCAGCACCAGCAGTACCAGCAGCAGCAGCAGGAGCAGCTGTAGCAGCAGCAGCACCAGCAGCAACGGCAGCTGCTATGACTGCACCAGCTTCCACAGCTGTTGTTTCTGCTCCCACCGATCCCATTTCTGCCCCTCATCCTTTTTCTCCTGCTCCTGCTACTCCTGTTCCCCCTGCTGTTCCTACTGCTCCTGCCACTCCTGCTGCTCCTACCGCTCCTGCTTCATCCCCCCCTCAGTCTGCGTCCCCTGATGCACCTGCTGCTGTGGCGTTGGCACATGGGGAGGGCAAGGACTGGTGGATGGGGCATAACAACAGCAACGGCAGATCTGCAGCTTCCCCTTTAGGTTCATCTCCGTTAGTAGCATCTCCTTTACAAGGATCTCCGCTAGGATCCCCGACTACTGCAGTGCAGGCTGATGTTTCTGCTTCCGATGCTGCGGCTTCTGCTGTGGCTGAGTCACAGAGCCAAGCTGTGAATGACTGTGAGGGCAATGGGAAGCACCATGCTGATTCCCATGCTGCAGACGGGCGTGCTACAAACGGATGTGCTACAAACGGATTTGCGACAAACGGGTGTACCCATACAGGCAACAGCAAAGGGCAGCAGCAGAGGGTGGACTCACTAGACTCAGCAGAAGTGAAGCACATTTACGGAGCCATCACCCCTCTCTTTCAGGGAAACACCGCCGCCCCTTTCCATCCCGGGACAATCTTCCCTCTTCATCCCCATCATAGTTCTGACATCTCCTCCCACATGCCTGGGCCCTCGCCCTTCCCAGACCATTCTCACCCTTCCGAGCCTGGGTTTGTCCGCTCCCAGTCCTCCCTCCTCCCCCCATACAGTCACCCGAATGCCCTCTCGCGCGGCCTTTCTCTCTGCGATAAGCAGTCGGCGTCAGCTGTTCACCACGCCCTGCTGGACCTCTTTGATCTGAACAACGACTTATCGAGGCGAGACCATGGCTTATCACGGCCCGAGCACCACTTATCGCAGCCGCAGCAGGAGCTAGCAAGGGCAGGGAAGAACCTTTCACAGCCAGAGGAGGGTGCCAGTGGTATCATGGAGAATTGTCAACAAACCGCTCCTCCCCATTCTCCCCCTCTCATTCCTCCCTTCCCTCCTACTCCTCCATCATCGCGACTTGAGCGATCCAGTAAAGTGAGCCTGGAGCTGCTGCTGCAGGAGAAGGTGTGAGGGCTTGTGCTGCTGCAATGAGGAAACATATATAAGCCTTGGCTGCTGCTGCTGCTGCTGCTTCATCTGAAGGGCTGGAAGGCAATGAAAGGGTATGATCTTGAGTGTTGCAGGCTTGCAGCGCAATGGAAGGGTGTTGTGTCATCTCTCTGCTGCGCACTGTCATGCATTGCATTGCAGCCTTACATTAGCCTGCGTGCACTACTAGCCTGGTGTCAGGGAGGGATACATGGCGATGCTGCCCTTTTTTGGGCCATTCTTTGTGTGCTTCTTTGATTATTGTAGATGTGTGAGCTATTGTGTTGACTTCCTTATTTTTTTGTCGTGTGCTTAGTTTGTGTAATGTAGATGTGTGTGTGCTTGTGTGTGGAATAAATATATTCTCTTCCGCTCTGCACTGCACTCAGCTCAACATGTACAAGAAATAAAAGAAAACTTCCACACGGCCGTTGCCATGCTACAATATCACCTTGCATCATGTGCCTCCTCCACCCATCACAACAGCTGCGTAAATTAATGCATTATTGCTCACTTGCCGTAGTATCTACAAGCTTGTTCTATGCTTTGTCCCTGGGGTCCTAGAAGCATGAACAACAGCAGCAGGCAAAACACGAGCACTATTCAACACAGTCCGTCCCTTGCTACTGGCTAAGAGTTGGTTTCCTAATTGTCTATCATAATCATTTCCAGCCTGTTGTGACCCATGTCCCTCCTGGGATATTGCCTTCCCTCCCATGCCTGCCTCTGCCCTCTTTCTCGCCTCCGCCTTTGCCGCTTTCCTCAGCCTCTTCTTTGCGGCTTGCTCCTTCTGCCATCTGAGGGCCAACAGAGCCAGGAAGTGTGGAAAGGAGGAACAGAGGAATGGAGAAATTTTGAGCGTTAGAAATGGCAGCAGCAGCGGCCGGTGGCTCCTGGCTGGAAGTATCTTCTTTGCTGCTTGCTCCTCCTGCCATCTGAGGGTCGACAGAGCAAGGGAGGGAGATGAACGGAGGGCGGGAGGAAAAGAGGAATAGAAAAGGAGAAAGGGAGGGACGAGCGTTGGGGATGGCATGGCAGCAGCATGGGAAAACAACAGAGCAAGGTAAGGAGGAATAGGGGAACGGAGGGACAGAGTGAAGTTGTGTTCCTTGCAGCACAGCCCAGTGCACCCTGGCGGGGACTGGCAAGGCGATTTTCCAGTCAACTAAAAAGTCACCTCGGAGAAATGGTGAGACGTTTTCGTCTTTACATCACAGTTCCGTGGGCTCTGGCAGGGACTGGCAAGGCGCATGCAGGGACTGGCAAGGCGCATGCGGGGACTGGCAAGGCGCATGCATGGAGTGGCAAGGCGCATGCATGGAGTGGCAAGGCGCATGCACTGGCTATGCACATAGCCATCCCAGTGGGCTCTGGCAGGGACTGGCAGGGACTGGCAAGGCGCATGCACTGGCAAACCGCATGCATGGACTGGCTATGTGCATAAAAGGAGAAAAGAAGTTGGAATCGCAAAAGATTCACTGACATTTGGCGAATGGCCTTGAAGGCCTTGATAGTGGCGTACGGCTGGCCTGTGAGTGGGTCTCGGTACCTGCATAGTGGGAAGAGAAGAGGAAATTCCACGCAAGTTACTGGCATTTGACAATTCTATAACAAAACGTCCATAGTGTTCGGTACCTGGAAATTCAAGTCAGAACATTTGGAAAACCGGTTTGCTGGTAGCTGAATTGATTGTGGAAATAATCGCTATTGGAGAAAAATGCTGTTCAAGTGATGTTGAAACACCCACACACACACACACACACACACACACACACACACACACACACACACACACACACACACACACAGCAGCAGCAGCAGCAGCAGTAGGAGGTGGTGTAGAGAAGAGTAGTGGAAACGTACTTTGCTGGTAGACCTGTGATCACACAAGTGGGCTTGGCAGGGTCTGCAGGAAGAGGAAGGAGGGAACAGAAATGAAGGCCAAAAGATTGCGGAGGGTTCGCAAAAGAACAGTGGGAGGGTAGTGGGATGGGAACGAAGCTCATTGGTGTGAGGGAACGCTCGAAGGCAACATAAACATGGTGGATAAAGAGACCATTTCAACTTCAAAGAAACAATTGATTGCGACTAAAAGCCATTATATGGCTGATTTTGGAGAGGTGTAAGAGTGAGCATATGTGAATGTGCCTTTAGGGCCAAAAAAATTGCTCATAAGGTAAAGGCACAGAAGGAACAGGAGCCGCTGAGAAAGAGTTGCTAGTGGGGACGTACAGAAAGGCGCTTTTGCGTTTTATCTCTGGAGGGGACTTTCGATTCGACTCAAAAGGTGACTTCTGAGGTGACTCAAAAAAGTCACTCCAAAAGCCGTTGGGGGGGGGGTTGCTAGTGGGGACGTACAGGAAGGCGCCTTTGCGTTGATCTCTGGAGGAACAGCCGCCACTTTGGTGAACTCCAGGGTGTTCTTCCCTGTGAAGTTGAATTAATAAGGTCCGGTAGAAGAGGAAAGGGTGGGAGGGAGGGAGAAGGAGGGGGAGTTTTGAGGCACCTCAAGAACAGCCGCCACTTTGGTAAACTCAAGGGTGTTCTTCCCTGTCAAGGGAATTCGGTTGGGTCCAGGGGGGGCGGAAGAAGGGGGGGGAAGAGGAGGGTGTGTGGGGAAGGGAAAGCGGGAGGTGGGTGGGGAAGGGGGAGGGGGGGGGGGGAGAGTGGTTGCTTGCACTGCCCTTCGGGTGGAATCAATCTGCTATTCAACAACAGAATGCCTTCCTGGAATACGATTTGATTTGATCTCACCGTCCTTGGAGTGGAATCGGATCTGCGGCCCACCAAAGATTGCCTTTTCCACAACGGCCTTCCGCTTCACCTCCTCCTCCCTCGCCAGCATCACTGCCAGGGCCTCTCGGTTCAGCATCTCTGTGACGGGTTGTCAGTGGAACAATGATGCGGGACAAGGGGAATGGGACGAATCTGGATAAGAGGAGGCCCCATGCATCCCCCCTTCTCCCCCACAGCCTTCCTCTTCACCTCCTCCTCCCTCCCCCAGCATCACTGCCAACGCTTCCCGGTTCAGAACCTCTGCAATGGGCGTGATAGGGCACAAGGAGAGTGAGCAAGCACGGACAGCCGTGCATGCAATTAGCCTCACCGACTTAACTGCACCTTCCTTTGCTAGTACCTCTGTGGCCCATCTCAAGCTCATATCAAAAGCCCTGAACCCCGAATCCACCTGCACCCACCCCCTGAACCGCACCCCACCCCACCCCACCTTCCTGTCTGTGCAGCCTCGAGAAGCATCTCCTCCTGTGTCCACCGCCGCAGGCCTTCCTTAACCTTCCTCACCGCCTCGCACGCGCACCTCTCAGCCATGGAAAAAGCTCTCAACTGCCTGTGCCGCCTCCAGAAGCATTTCCTCCTGCGTCCACCACCGCTCGCCCCCTCCCTCGCAGCCCTCAGAGCCCCTACAGCCTTACCTGCGCTCAAGTAATATGCCCAAGGCTGTAACCACTGCCCACCCCCCTGAACCGCACCGCACCGCCCCTGAACCGCACCGTACCTGTCTGTGCAGCTTCTAGAAGCATCTCTTCTTGTGTCCACCGCCGCTCGCCCTCCTTCCTCTTTCTCACCGCCTTGGGTACCCCCTCCCTCGCTGCCCTCAAAGCCTGCCTCTCCATGTCCCTCACCACCACCGCTGTCCTCCTTGACTTCCTCCTCTCCATCCCTCCTCCCTCCCTCCCGCCTCCCTCTCTCCCTCCTCCCCCTCCCCCCCAATTTTCGTCTGTCAGATCTACTGTCGCATCACCAATAAGCTCCTCTCCCTCCTCTCCCTCCTCTCCTTCCTCTCGCTCCTCTCTCTCCTCTCCCTCACCTCCCTCCGCCCCTTCCCATTTCACTCGCCCCACTCCCAGAAGAGCCAACTCACGTCTCTGCCTACTCTTTCCCACACCAGTCTTCTTCCCAGCTTTACTCTTCCCCTTATCAGCCTCCGCCCCATCACCTGTCGCCTCCCCGTCAACCCTTCCGCTCGCTTTCCCCTTCTCTGCAACAAGCGTCCTTCCACCAACGCCCTTCTTTGCTGCCTTAGCAGGTTTCTTAGGCTTTTTGGAAAGTTTCTTGGTGCCGGGAGGCAGGAGACGGCGCTTGGTAGGCCTGGTGGGGCAGGTGAGTGGGGCAGGTGGGGCAGGTGAGTGGGGCAGGTGGGGCAGGTGAGTGGGGCAGGTGGGGCAGGTGAGTGGGGCAGGTGGGGCAGGTGGGGCAGGTGAGTGGGGCAGGTGGGGCAGGTGGGGCAGGCGGGGCAGGTGAGTGGGGCAGGTGGGGCAGGTGGGGCAGGCAAGGAGAGGATGAGGGGAAATGAAGGAGGCCCTTCTTCGCCCTCTTTGCAGACTCCTTGGTTTCTTTCTTGGTGCCAGGAGGCAGGAGACGGCGCTTGGTAGACCTGGTGGGGCAGACGACGAGAGGCAGGTTAGGAGAGAAGGGAGAGGTGAGAGTTGCTATTGACCATGGAGTTTGATTTTTTTGGCTTCTTGAGCTTTTTCTTTGTGCCAGGAGGCAGGAGACGGCGCCTGGTAGGCCTGGTGGGGCAGGTGGGGCAGGTGGGGCAGGTGGGGCTGGTGGGGCAGGTGAAGAGAGAACAACAGATGAAGAAACATGATGAACGAGAGTGAAAGAAATCAAGGTTTGAGGTAAGGGCTTGGGTACTGGTGTCTCGGAGATGGATGATATGGGGGAAAATGTGCGGAAAGGGAAAGGGAAAGAGGCATGGAAAGGAAGGAACATGGGAAGAGAGACGAGGGAGGGGATGCGGCAGGAGAGAGGATAACGGGAGAGGCAGACCTTTCTTTCACCTCTGCTCCAGGCTCCTCCTCCTCGTTTTCTGGCTCCTGTCACGCGCATACACATATGCAAGATCAGAGAGAAAGAGGAAAACAGAGGAGTGCGAAACATGGTGTGATTATCAAGGTGGTGAGAAACCATGTAAATTGTGCGACAAAGAGGCATGTGTGAGAAGGAGGTTTTCCTATAACAAGTCGCTCACGTCACATCACACCCATCATGCTCACGTCATCACACCCATCATGCTCACGTCATCATCAAAGTCGCTGTCGAAAACGTCCTCATCCACCTCGCCCTCCGTTGCATACTCCACATCCTCTGCTTCCTGTGGTATGTCAACATCACATATACACATGCACATGTACACATATACACATGTAAAACAAGTACATGTATTTCACACATTCGAAAAACGTCCTCCTCCACCTCGCCCTCCATCGCATACTCTGCATCCTCTGCCTCCTGTGTTATCATTATCACAATCAAATCATATATGTACGGTAAAACAGATAAGTGGTTTTCCAAACATTTAACCGTCCTCCTCCTCGCTCTCCATTGCATACTCTGCATCCTCTGCTTCCTGTGGTATGTCAACATCACATACACTCATGTAAAACGAGTACATGTACTTCACACATTCGAAAAACGTCATCCTCCACCTCACTCTCCATCGCATTCTCTGCATCCTCTGCTTCCTGTGGATACATACATGTAAAACAGGATTGTCATGTAGATTTAATGACCACGTCAGAGAGCACGTCCATGTACCCATCCACCGTACCGAACTCATAACAAGTGGTTAAAATCCAGGTCAGCAGACTCACTCACAAATCTCATCATTGGTAGCTGAAATCCACGTCAGCAGGCCATTTACCCAACTAATGACTGAAACTTCAAAATCGACGTGAGCAGTCCCACTTACCTCTTGAAAGGCCTTTTGATTCAAAAACTCCTCACCCGCGTCTAGATCCTTCAACCCCCCTCCCCCCCCTCCCTCCTCCCACCACCAGCGGTCTTTTGAGTCAACAGATCCACGTCAGCATGCCAGCTCACCTCCTGGAAAGCCTTCTGATTCCAAAACTCCTCATCCGCGTCTAGATCCTCCCCCACCAGCTCCGACACTCTGATTGGCGCAAGCAGTTGGGGGATAGGGGAAACCGCAAATATGATTGTGAGGAAAGGGGACAGGAGTGGAGGAATGAAGGAAAGGGGGAAGAGGGAAGGGAAAGGAAAAGGAAAAGGCGCCACTTGAGAGAGGGATGACGGAGTCAGGACAAGGATTTCTCATCTGCGCCTCGTAGTTCTCTTAGCCCAACAACGAGCTGGCTGCTACCTAGTTACAGCAGTAAGCAACTCACGTTGCAGGGAGTTTTTGAGAATTCTCAAAAACTCCCTGCGACCCAACAACGAGCTGGGTGCTCCCTCGTTACAGCAGTAAGCAACCCACGTTCCTACCTCTTCCCCATGACGGCTCACCGTTTTCCGCGGGTGGACCGCGCGGGAAGGCGGACCCGTTCCGGCTCAGCCATGACGCCACCCGCGCAGAGAAGTCACGTTCGCAAACCTATTACGCGCAGAGGTCACGCGGGAAACCAAGCCGTCCGCAAAAGCGCGCGAGTTTTCTCAGCCAACGGCAAGAAAAAATCACCTCAATTGTAGCACTAGTTCGTGCAAGCAGGAATCCTGTGTGCCATGTAAAAGTCGCGCTGTTGTTGGATGGTGAAATTTGATTTTCGAAGCGATGTTGAAATGTTAGGGCGTACCCGCAGGCCACAATTTTCAAGGTTAGGAAGGTTGATTGGGGTTAGTGCCTGGATTGGCCCGCGAACCGAGAGGTTGCCGATATTGAATGCGAGAGTCAGCGAGAGGAGTCGAGTTCGTGGGTGTTACCTGAGCCTATCTGAGTATCGCACAAACCCAGAGTTGCGACAGAGTATCGCACATCGGACGGTACCCCAAGCCAAGAGCGGAAATGTTGCAGTAGTGTAATGATGGTAGTTGGGCTTAGGAAACTATATTTATTACAAACTTCTGTAAGTGTTGCTGACATTGTTAATTACTTTCATAGCAATGCTTAGTCTCAACTCAACACATGGTGACGGTGCCCCAATTTGTCTTTGGTTGATAAAAACTGTTATATCAATTAAAAATAAATCACAAATTAATGCGGGCAGAATTATCTCACACTTGACCCTTAACTAGAATATCACATTAGGTGATATTCATGCAATACAATCACCAACTTACCAATTTGAAATGCTGCAAACACAAGCTGCCATAGGGGGGAGAAGAAGAGGTGGGTGAGTAATGTCAAGTCAAAGAAGAGGCGGATAGTGAGTGAGTGGCGGAAGGAGTGGTTGGCGTGGGGGAGTGAGAGGCAGATGTGAGTGGGTGGCAGTAATGAGTGTATCTCCCCAAGCCCCCGCTACCCCCCCTGCCGATGCATCTCCCCATGCCCAAGCTACGCCCCCTGCCAATGCATCTCCCCATGATTGTACTTTTGCCAATGCTGCAACCACAAACTGCCATGTGGGGAGAGATGAAGGGTACACAGGGGAGGAGTGATAAAGTACGAGCAGAAGGAGTGAGAACAGGTTGCTGAGTAGGATGGGGGGGGTTATGAGGGGACGGAGGGGAGTGTGAGGCAGTGGTAAGTGGGTGGTGGAGGTGTGTGGGAAACAGAGGTGAGTGAGAGGCAGCGGTGAGTGAGTGGCAGAGGTGAATGAGAGGGCACGTGAGTGAGAGGACGCGTGCGGAGGGGGTGAGATGCCGAGGTGGTGAGACGCGGAGGGGGTGAGATGCGCAGGGTGTGAGAGGCGGAGGGTGTGAGAGGCGGAGGGTGTGAGAGGCGGAGGGTGTGAGAGGCGGAGGGTGTGAGAGGCGGAGGGTGAGAGAGGCGGACGTGAGCCAGGTGCTTTTCCCTGCCCACGCGGTCCTCCCTGCCCATGCACCTCCGCCTGCCCGTAGGTCGCGTTGCGAGGCAGGGCAAACCGTGACCTAAGGGCGCCGTCGCGTTGCCCTGCAGGGCAAATCGTGTCCTAAGGGCGCCGTCGCGTTGCCCTGCAAGTCTAATCGTACCCTAAATGCGACGCGGATTGCTTTGCAGGGCACATCGTGACCAAAATGGGGCCGCCGCATTGTCCTGCTATGCAAATCGTAACCGAAATGCGACGTCGCATTGCTCTGCAGGTCAAATCGTGGCCATCGGTATGCTAATGTCACCACGCAAGCCTATATTTCCGGCAATGTTGGTTTCCGCGACTTTCGCATACCCCTACCTTTTGTATTTCGAGATTTGCGAGCGCCCGAAAGTAGGTAAGTTGGCTAGTAGGCGGGTTGCGCGCGTCTAATAGTGGGTCCTAAACTCGGGACTAATCACTGGCGTTTTTGGGACAAGTTTCTCTTGCCTGTGTGCCTCATGTATACGGAGGTTGGTGTTGGGCGATAGTACCGTGCGATGAGATTGAACTGGACTCTTGTCGCTGCTACAGTGTTCTCATTTGTTGAATGTTGTTACGGGTGCAATGAATCGAAGTAGCGAGAATTGCACTAAGGTGTCAAACAAGTACAAAGATGTGAGCGAAGGCATGAGCGAACATTTATATGCGAAGCATGCAAACGGTAACGCGGTGCGTGCAAGCTAGCTAGTGCTATGCTGGCAGCGAGGCTCGGGCTAGTCCCGAAGCGTAGGCCGACACGGCCGGGCCAGCAGTGCGAGGTTTGGTGAAACAGTGCGCGCGAAGTCGGCGAAGTTCCGTTAGCAGTAACGGGCGAACAACGGCTGTTGCTGTACGCGATGTAGTCGGGCTCCGTAAGGAATGCCGAAAAATTCCTTACACTACCCCCCCCCCCCCCTCAAGAAGCCCCCTCCGCTACGCGAGTGCGTGTATGTCGCGGAATCCCCGGCTCCTCAGGTACACTTGCTGGGCAGGGTGGTTTTCAATGTTGGCCAGGGGCACCCAGCTATCCTCAGTTGGCGTGCGGTCCTTCCAGCGAACGAGGAATTCAATCCTCCTGATTCCCGTGGGGTGTCGAGTCCGATGGCTCAGGATTTTTTCGGGCTCGATGATCGGCTCCGATGCAGGGCGAGTCATGGATGGCGGGCGGTGGCGAGGCAATTGGCTTGTGGTTGGGATGTATGGGCGAAGCAAGCTGACGTGGAACGAAGGGCTGATGTACCAATCGGTCGGTAACAGTAGGTGCGCAGTTACTGGCGTGATCATGTGGCTGATTTGGAATGGGCCACAGTAGCGCGGTCGCAGTTTTGGTACGTCGGGCAGTCGCAGGTTTTGCGTGTCGAGCAGTACGTAATCCCCTGACTGGTAGGTGACGGGTCGGCGGTGGCGGTCAGCGTTGCGCTTAGCGATGATATTTGCTTTTTTAATTGCTTCTGCAGCTCTGGTGCGGGCAGCTTGCAGAATTTCGGCGAATTGTTGTGCACGTGGTGTCGGATTGTCCGGACTCGGCGTCATGGGCACTGTAGGATTTTGCCCGTAGTTCAGGTAGAAGGGGGACTGCTGCGTCGTCGCTGACGTGGCGTTGTTGTACGCGAACTCGATCAGCGGCCCAAGTCGTGGGGTCGTCGCACGTGGCACGAATCAACTGCTCCATCGTCTGATTCGTCCGCTCCGTTTGGCCGTCGGTCTCGGGGTGGTACGACGAACTGAACTGTAGCCTGGTCCCGAACTGCTCCCAGAGGTTTTTCCAGAAGTTGCTGGTAAACTTCGTGTCCCTGTCGCTGATAATTGCTGCTGGTATCCCGTGCAGGCGAACAACGGATGCGATGAACAGGCGAGCGGTCTCCTCGGCTGAGATCGACTTTTTGCACGCAGCGAAGTGTGCCATCTTCGTCAGCCTGTCAACGACGACCATCACCGCATCGTTACCCCCAGGGTTCGAAGGTAACCCTGTGACGAAGTCCATGGTAACCTGCTGCCAGGCGCGCTCGGGCGGTGGTATCGGCTGCAATTGACCCGCCTTCCGCTTCCTCGAGCTCTTCATCACCTGACACGTGGGGCACGAGCCCACGTGCTGTTGTACGTCGGTCAACAGCTCCGGCCAGTAATAATACCGCTGCAGTTGCTGTCGCGTTTTTTCTACCCCAAAATGTCCCGAGGTAATTCCCTCGTGTGCCTCCTGCAGTAGCAGCTCCCTCAGTAGTGAGTACGCAGGTACCCAGATGCGGTTGGTGCCTGTTTTTACGTAATAAGCTCCTTTAGCTTCTGCCAGTTGTTGTGAGTTTCCAGTCGTGAAAAATGGGTCGGTGCGGTATCCGTGGGAGAATAGGCCTGTTAACAGCGGGTTGGTCTGGGCGAGTAGGATGGCGTGGAGTTGGGCGATAGGGCGGGTGAGTGCGTCGGCGATGTTGGATGCGCCTTTCTTGTACGTAACCGTGTAGTGGAAGTTGGACTCGAGGTAGTCCAGCCAGCGAATTTGTCGCGGATTGAGATTTGGTTGGGCGCGTAAGTACTGTAGTGATCGGTGGTCTGTCCGTACTGTCATGTCGGCGCCAGTCAGGTAACACCGCCAAACCTTGAACGCGTGCACAATCGCCAACATTTCGCGGTCGTGTATCGGGTAGTTGCGTTCGGGCGGGTGCAGTTTGCGGGACTCGTACGCGATTGGCTGGAGGCCGTTCCCGAAATCCTGCAACAGTACTGCTCCCACAGCGATGTCACTTGCGTCAGTGACGAGCTCGAACGGACGGTGTGGATCTGCGATGTGAAGCACGAGCGGTGAGCACAAAATGTTTTTGAGGGCCGAGAAGGCAGCTTGCTCTTTCTCCCCCCACGTGTACTCAACCCCCTTCCTCAGCAGGTCAGTCAACGGGGCAGTCAGCTTCGCCATGTCGGGGACGAACCGGCGCACGTAGCTGACGAACCCCAGAAAACTCTGCAACGCTGTCAAGTTGGTCGGCGCGTGCCAAGCCTGAATCGTCGCAATTTTCTTCTGGTCTATTTCCACTCCTGCGGCGGAAATAACGTGTCCCAAAAACTCTAGACGGTCCTGTAGAAATTCACACTTAGACGCTTTTGTCAGTAGGCGGTTCTCACTCGGTGTTTTAAAAACTGCTTCGATGTCCTGTAAGTGCTGTGCTCTGTCAGGGCTGTAAATCAGGATGTCGTCCAGGTATACTATGACGCACTTATCTAAGAGTGGGCGGAAAGCTTCGTTCATGGTCATTTGGAAAGTGGCGGGGGCGTTGGTCAGTCCGAAGGGCATGACGGTGTATTCGAAGGATCCGTAGCGTGTTCGGAATGCGGTTTTAGGGCAGTCGGGCGGATTGACACGAATCTGATGGTAACCCCCCCGGAGGTCGATTTTCGAGAAAACCCGGGCTGTGCGCAGTTGGTCGATCAGTTCGTCGGCTCGTGGGATGGGGTAACGGGATTTGATGGTAACCCTGTTCAGTGCTCTGTAATCGATGCACATGCGAAATCCCCCGTCTTTTTTCGGTGTAAACAGTATCGGTGTTGCGAAAGGTGACGAACTAGGGCGAATGAACTCCTTCTCGAGCAGGTAATCGAGC